TGTGTTATGACATTATGAGTATTTTGTAAATTCTAGTCTATTCAGATTTTATATTGACATAGCTCTTTTTGTTAATATTGCTTATTGGTGAATTCAGATAATGTTTGTCCCAATAATCATAGCTGTTTGGGCTCCTTGCATTGTACGTTGACGAATATTAGTTCACATGATTGTATGACGTAGACAATCATTCGACAATCGTAATTCGGTTTATTTCCCTCTAGTTTTTCGGTTTCAGGGCCGATATCGCAACAGATCGCGTTCATTTCCACTTTTGTTCTCGGTCGTGTGTGCCCTTGTTCAATGGTTTCGATCGTCCGAATCGATAAAGCCGTGTCGTTGGTGGAAGTTTGTGTTATAGCAAAATTTTGTTTTGAAAAAGGCTCAGAAGTATCTATATTATGATTTGTTCAGATATTTATGGTGAATTCAGTTGAGAATATGTTTGCCTCATTCTTACTTGAATAGTAGATATTATGAACTCATATTTTCAGGTATGAATATGTTTTTAAATAATTATGTTGAAATCTTGGAACATCAGAAACTTCCACTTGAAATATTGAATTACTTGAAAAAGTTATATTTTCTTTATAGAAAACATTGAAAGCTCAAGTTCATATATATAGATACTTGAACCAAGTCCTGAAGTACATCAGGGCGATACAGTATTTTCACAGTGACATCCTCGTGAGTATGTCAGAAATCCTCCTATTATTATCAAGAGATTGCTTTAATTGCAGGCAAATATACAAAGTGGCGTGAAAAAATATTATCGATACCCCATAACTTTTCGATGAACTCGGTGTTGGAGGGTGTATGTCCTCTAGACCTATCACTTTCCTTAATGGCATTCACCATATATGTGAAGATTTTGCTATCAACGTAGTTAAATGGTTTATTTCGAAAAAAAAATGATCGATGATATTCTGAATTGAAATATCTGGGTTTCTGTGAGGGAAGTTTTTTTGACAATTCTCAGTATTACTTCGTAGGAGGAATAAATAAGTATGCAACTTCTCATTTTTCAATAAATTCATTATTATGCATATAGATTTATTATATTTGTCCGAAAAAATCGATGAGTATTGTCAAAAAAACTTCCAGAGAAACCCAGATATTTCATTCAGAAACTAATCATATTTTTGTTTTTCGAGAAATATAACTTTGGATCATGAAAAGTATAGGTGTGGAAGATATTTATGTTTTATAAAGCATACCATCGGATAATGTTGATTAGATAACACAATATCCACTGTTTTGATGAATATACTAGAGTAGAAAAGTATTGAGATAACTGTTGAAAATGAGCTATTTTACAATAGCATGTCAAAATATCAGGTTTCATTCAGATATTAGATAACTATAATAATATGGGACAAGGTACTGCAACATTTATATGGGAATAATTCCTATTCCACACTCTGTGTTATCATAGAAACAAGAACAAGTGCGGTAGTTATTCAGCAGCGGTGTTTATACAAGTTTGAAAATTGAATATGCTGCTATAACTACAAGCCACCTGAAAATTCACTTCATTTATGGTAGCAAATGAACACATCGGTCCCCTATTCATTGCAGATATCGTAATAACGGTTATCAGATTTCCAATTATGATAACTCAAGTTTTCTCTCAGATATACCACGATCAATCCATTGCAATTATATATACGACACGACTTATATGTTGTGTCTATGCTGTAGGATGTAAAAATATTTTCATTGGATATTGAGCCATGAAACACCAATATAGTGCTTATCCGTATGTCACGTCATCTAGAGCTAGCGTTTTTGGGAGGTGACTATTTTGATCATTGAAAATTCTGGATTTTATTTCGAATTCGAAAATCAAACGATTTGTGTATTGGAAAATTTGGATTTTTCAACGTTTTGTGCATCCCGTCATTTCCAGCGTTTCAGAGGAAACAAACTGAACTTTGAAACTTCAAATAGAATCAGTACCATCTATAGAATAAATATCGAACCCTGCTGCGAATATGCAAGAAATAAGATGTGCCTTTTATGCAAACGATAAGTTTATTCACCTTCTAAAGAATTACACATGTTTTGTTTTTTCTAAGGATTTTGGCAATGACAAATATTAGGGGTGGAAGATTGAACTAATACCGATAACGATCTTTCCAAAACATTTTCTTCTGCATGGTCCTCATTGATTTTCTGGATATCGAATAGCAGTTTTCTGTTTGTTCGGTATCATATACTGACCTCTGTGAACGAGATGCGACAATTTACATTTCTTTCAACCATTTTCTCAAGGATAGTACAGTCGCATTCAAAAAAAAAAACGTACAATTGTATTACAGAGAGAAATTTACGTCATCCTATTCTGCATAAAACGGGCTATCGCGAAAATGATTGTTCACCAAATGTTGACAGTAAAGTTGTCATAGGTTCTCGAAAACACAAAGCATTGGCTGAGCCAGTTTGACACAACTAGAACTATATAGGGCCCCGAAATCCTCTTTTTTTAATACTTGTACGCTTTTTTATTGAATATAACTGTAGATAAAATATCATTCTATAAAATCTATTGTAATAAATGATGGTAACAATGACAAGGAGTGTTATACCATCCAGTGACTCTAGGAGAGTTCAACCTACCGACCGTTCGTCAGATCATACTATATCCTTGTTCGCGCCTAGGTAAAAATATCAAGAAGAAGAAATAGTACATTGTTTAATTAGGATCAAATGTGATACTTTCTTTGATAAGCGATATTTGCGTTCGCGAGGCGGAGCGACCGCGAATTAAACATGGTAGTTTTTCGGCAATCGAAATAATTGATGTCTAATTAATGAAATATAAGTGAAAATACCACAATTTTGAGTCACTTGAGCATGCCAATATCAAAGCATCTATCATATCAGTTGTCATCCGACACGTTTTCAGTTCCTATATATAGGACTTAAACTTCAACTTCAGCTCCTAGACACTAAAAATGTTGCCTAGCAACATTCAATTGTGTCAGTGCGAGAATCGTCAAATTCAAGATCAAATTTTGGAACAAAAATGGACGACTTTTGAGCCGATGGCAGAAAAAGAGATGTATTGAAAAATATGAAATTTTTACTCAGGAACGAATTGGCTTCCATTTCCAACATGAGTTGAAAAAGATGAATATTTGTGTATTGTCTTCGTTTTTTTCTATGATTGGTGCTATGTTTCAGCTGAAAACTGTATTGAAGACTGAGAATACAATGACATCAATTCTTACTCGAAAGTATAATCATAGAAAAATTGTTATACACCAGTACCTATATACTTACCTTGTGTTTGAGAAAAATATCATGAAGATGAAACAAAGTCACTTCTCTCAAGGATGAAGAAAGTACATAAGAACAATAACAATATAAATAAAGGAAATACATTATTCCGATGAACTAAAATTAGTTGAAAATATCCTTACTTAAAATGGACCACATATTTGTGGCAGATGGAATTTTATTCATTAATTTTTATTCATGTATTGAAAATATGACTTCAAGTCAGAAACGAAATCTGCTATGGGCAAGTAGTTAGAAATGCTATCAATACCAAATACAATTATAACAAACTTAATTTTGTCGAGATCAAAGGCCTTATTACTCAGATTCACCAATCCACACAAAGTACGTGACTTTGATGGAAATCACAGTTGGATTTCGCAACAAAAAGTTGATACTGAGATTTCTCTATATTCGTAGGAATTATTATCTTTTTCCCAACTTAATTCATTATATGAAATACCTCATATAAGTCGCTATGATTTTGTCATTATGACAGCGAGAAAAGTTCGCTCTAACTTTTCCAGAGACGAAACGAGCTGTGATATTTGAAACCATGAAAACCAAAATTGTGAACGAATTTTTGATGGCGTTTATGCCAATTTTCCTCCGTCTTCCATTGTCAGAAAAGTATCTAATCTAATCTATGGAAGTGTTGCGATTTGGAGAACCTTCGAGTGGAGACATTGTAAAAATAATCCTTCCCAAGTTCCACTCAGGCATTTTTCTCGGGTCAAAAGTAAACTCAACACTTATAATTCAAGTTTTGTTGCTTTCATAAAATGTAACACAAAGAACAGCCACAACAAAAATTAAGAGTCCGTCGTGGTATTTGCGAAAGCAACTTTTTTTCTTTCAATTTCCAGGCAACAGAATTGTTAAAAAAATAGTTGAGATCACCAAAGTATATTGCGCACAAGTTGCAAACAACATTTTTTCAACAAACGTCGGAAAATATAGTTCAAAAAGTCGTAATATGCGAAGCTTAATAGATAATAGTGTTGAACTAGCTTGAAAAGCTTGATCAAGCAGATTGTATAGTCATAAAGGTTATAATACAATAATCTCATATACAGGGTATCCTAAGTTATCGTATACAGGCAATATCTCGCTTATTTGACAAGGTAATTGAAAAATTTAAAAACTGCATTGGACGGCATTGAAGTACTTTCCTAATGACATATAAAAAATCGATTACATTTGACAGTTGGCAGCTATCTCCCACTTGTTATTTTCGTATAGCACATCCTGTATATTGTCATTGAGAATTACGTGTCATCCTATAAGGAATACAAGGATAGCATATACTTGGTATTTTTTTTTATTAATATAACAACAAAAATAGAAGCATTCTGACATATCTATTATGCAATTACATCCGTATATGTATATTGTATCCTTGTATTCCAAATTGAATGATAAGTAATTTCCAATGACATTCGAAAATAAAAAGTGGGGGGTGGCTGCTAGAGAACTGTCAAATGTAATAGTTTTTTTTATGTCATCAGGAAGGAAATGCAATGTCATTCAATGCAGTTCTTGAATTTTTCAATTATCTTGGCAAACAAGCGAGATATTACCTGTATACGATAACTTGGGACACCCGGTAGTTCACATGCGCACTGGGCAAAGTATTCACTTCGCGCATTGTTTTACACGGTGCTGTGGAATCGTAGGAAACTGAAAAAGTTTCATTTCGCATATTGTAATCAATGCGCAAACCTTGTCATTTTTTGACCTTCGTGTCGTGTTATTATAAGTCGAATAAATAAGAACAAATATCTGTCAAAAGTTGACGGACATTTCCAAGAAAATTTGGTGCCACCCTTATCTCTCGCCGGCTCTGTTGGCTTCTGATGGCCTGTTCTTCCATACTGTATCTCTTCTGGAAGTTCAAGGGGCACTCAGTAAAATTATTTGCCGATTGATAGAGCGATATTACGATTTTTAGCAATGCTAAACGGTCGGTAGGCTAGAAACTGCATATAATGACAATGATAACAATGATAACATGTAAATACTTCACATGTTTGGTACATTCACACGAGGATTCCGTCAACATCCTTTTTTGAATATTATGCAAAATCGCTTTCGTGGACAAAGGAATGGATACAAGATTAAAATATTCTCCTATATAATAATGGCGGCTTGTCTTCTCTATTCTTTGCCCCTATGTATATCATGTCTTCCTAAGCTCACTGTTCAATTATAATTGCTACTCAAACAGTCCTCATCACTCGAAGAAATAAAACGACCAATAGCCGATATTGAAGATCATAAATGTCACCGGAAAGATAACTCTGGAGTATTTGTCTATGACATTGACATCGGTGATCTTCGGCATGGACGATTTGATAACCAGAGCTCCTTTCTTCAAGACGTGAAACACTTTGGGCCTATGGAAGTTGTTGCCTGAAATCGTACAGAGATTATGGTATCCATATCCCCTGGAGAGTACTCAAAAGTCACCTTTGTTTCCTCTGTGCCTGACTCCAGGTGTGGTCCTGTAGTTGTATGTGTACCCTGAAGTCCTTGATATGCGAAAGCTTGGAGGGAATTTGGAGGGATCAATGTCACAGGTATATGGTTTGGTGTTATGCCTATTGCGAATTGAAGCGATAGGACTCATCCGTACGTCTTGCAGCTCTATAATATCCTCGTGGTTTCTTTCTTGGCATGCCTTGGTGACTGAAAATACGATACAATTACAGCGATACCGATACCCCAGCTCAAAATTAATGATTATTGGCAATTCAAACGACTGTCATGATTTGTGGTTAGGTATCTTATCACAGAATAGGTCGCGTGCAAGAACTGTCAGATGACCGACCCTGGAGGCAATACATATTTGTTTACAAGTGATCGAAATAGTTTTCCACAATTATTTTGGCATATATGAATCGTATTTTTCCGCTATTCATCAATTCGCTAATGCCATCACAGTGTGCTGTTGTAAAATGCACAAAAACTGCAGCGGAAGATGAAGAAATCCGGATGGTACATTATGATTCAAAAGTAAGTACCTACTATAGTCACTCACATAGTTTTCATTTTTGAAATTTGGTTATTTCTCTGATTTCTCATCGGAATTCCTTCTGCAATAGGATCAGCTGATAGAAATATACCTGAAATTTCTAGAATAATGCAAGAAGATTGGATTCATGCAATCAATCGGTAGGACTGGTCTGACATGCTGACGATCGTGTGTGTTGTAGACATTTTCAATATATTAGCAGTTATTAGCTTGTATTGCAGAAGTGGCAGAAGGCAGAAGGAATTTTAATAAGGAATGACAACATTTCATAATGCTAACTATGTGAGTTTACTATTTACCTGAAAAATCATATTCCCTAGTCTCTTGCTGCATTTTTTGTGCATTGTACAACAGCACAATGCGAAGGCATGCTTGAATTAATGAATAACGCAAGAAACACGATTCGTATGCCAAAATATTGTGAAAAACTATTTCAACCTTTTGATGCCTCTGTAACCAAATAAAAAAGTGAGGTTGTGTTTCAATAATTCACAGAAGAATGAGGTTGTGTTTCAATATTTTGCCTCCAGGGTCGGTCTTCGTGCACGCGACCTATGAAGACATCTTAAGATATACCAAACTACAAGTTCTCTCACTAATATATGAAAACACAATGAGAGTTTGAATTCAATGAATTGGGCAATGCATACATAGTATTGCGCTTAATATCATGGTCAAATATAGACTATTCCGTGTCTGACTCATTTTCACTGACCTATACCTGATTGTTTGATGTTAGCATACCAGAAATAATGAAAGTTGCGTATAGTAAAAGGAGAGATGCAAGATGTAGAAGTAAGAGAATGGGAAGGCGGTTGCCTAGGAAGTAGGCAGTAGGCCCCCACCTTCCATCTCCTAAAGCTCTTTTCTAACCTCCTTATATAGGTTGATTAAATCTTCCTGATGAAGATTATCAGCACCAATAATTTCGAATCTTAGCCTTACATTGGCAGTAGTAGTATGACGTTTCTCCTTATTTTTCTCTACATCTACGGCAACTGAGGTTATCTTCTACACCTATTAGCGATAGGTGCTGGTAATATTCCTCGAACTGCAATAGCTCATTCGAGAAGGAATGAAACTTGACTATGATATGCCTAGAAGAGGTTCAGGTCCCCAATATAGCGCCGCGGAACCTGTTCTTGTCAATTCGTTCGCTATTTCGTTACCACGTACCTTTGATTCGGCTAGCATTTCAAGTGAGACGCAAGATAGAAGAACAATCATTTGAGCACCAACACATACCGTGTTCGGGTTTTTCGTTCTCCTTGGGTTTCCTCGGCTTCTTTTTTGCCCTGGCTCCCCAATAAGTATAGTTGACGGCTGCGTATTCCAAAAGAGCGGCGAAAACGAAGACAAAGCACATTACCAGGTAGATGTCGATAGCTTTCACGTAGCTTATTCGTGGTAAGGAGCTACGGACACCTGTGCTTATGGTGGTCATGGTTAGAACGGTAGTTATACCTGCAAATTATTAGAGGAATAGAGTATCATGTATATTGAGTAGAGTGAAGAAAAATGCATTAGGATAAGGAAGGTGTAGACTGTGGAGTCTAAGCTATTGCAAAATCGACTGCCGCATGGACAACGAAGAATGGATCCAGAAGTATGTCGAACTCATTTAGTGAAGATCATTTACAACCATAGAGAATTCTATAGACCAAGGCACATACAACTAGAATTTCTTGAAGTCAACACTTAGATAAGACAGATCACATGGCACTATTTCTTAGTACACTTAGTTATCATCTGACGTTGATGTGACATGAAAACTTCAGGAAAACTCCTCGCTTAGATTGAAAGTTAGATATGTTTCCCCGTAGTTTTCATGTCATCGCAACGTCAGATGATGACCTTGGCTATACCCATGGTGGAATTATAGTATGGTGTGCTACGACGCATGTTCGTATACGTCAAGGCGAGTAAAACAATTGCTCGCAGTCTCAGCTCACAGTTATTCATTTTGGTGCGAATATATATAGACTCGCAATGTCGTTATGCGCAGGAAATACGATTTCAAAATACCTAAGTGGCACATAATATTATATTTCCACCATGACTATACCGCGAATAAACGAATATGCAAGAGTTTATGACTTTGGGGCATGTGGAATAGAATTTACACAGCCCTAAAGACTTTCGAATAATCTAAAGGTGATCTATGGTATGGGAATGCAGCAAATAACGAAGCTTGTGCAAGAAACGGATGTACATTTGTTTTCAAGAAAAAAAACCGTACAAGGTTGTTAGAGATAGAAATTAACGTCATTCTATTTGCGTGGAACGGGCTATCGGGGATGATTGTCACCAAATGTTGACAGTAAAGTTGTCATAGTTTCTCAAAAACACAAAGCATTGGCTGAGCCAGTTTCACACAGCTAAGATGACGTAAACCTCTCTTTATAATACATGTACATTTTTTTAGTGAAAACCACCATACCTAAAAGTTCAATCGATGATCAAGCGAAGTAGGTAGCATGTTGCTATCAAAAATCGTCTATAAGATGGCAACATTTTGGAAATATTGGCTATATAAGGAAAGTGTTTCCAAGAACCTCCAATATATAATATCAGGAAAATGTTGTACCTTACCTATATCAACATGGGGTAGTAATTTTCCATGATCATGGTCGTCTGTATATTTTTGATGTTATAAAAAAACAATGTATAAACAACATGTAAGGGACAGCATGTGTTCTTTATAATTAGCCGAAATACTCTTATTGAATTGGTAGCATCACCTAACGAAATCGCTTAATGAATAGAATGATCAATGTTATGAAAAACCAGCCATTTCATGGAACATATTCGCCTCAAGTCTATCATGAGTTCTGTAGTATATAAGGACACTAAGTTGACAAAGTAGTTCATGAAAACAGAATGAATATCGGAATCATCTCCACGACATGCAATAGGTGATCATAATTAGACATGTTTCGGGCTTCATCATCTGCCAAAAGTTCTATAAAGTAATTGATGATGAAAAAACTGTTCTTGAAAGGTTTAGCACAATACATTCATCCTAAATCATTGAACTACATAAAGAACGGATATCGAACAGGGATTTTATTTTAAGAGGGGCCTGTACCCTCTGATACACCATCAAGTGGTTTTCATGAGGTGGAAAACCCTTTCTTCAAATACCACATCAATCAAATTCAATGGCGTTAGCGTCCCTCAATAAGGAACTTGATAATATAGCAATGTTGAGGAAGGGTACGTTGCAAATGATGGCTCAGCTACTCATAACATAACGGATTCCACTATGAGAATATGATACATTTAATGGACAACCAAAGACTGAAAATCGATCCATCAACAGCCAAGAACAATATTATGAGACAAGCATCAGAATTGGTTGAAAATGTAGTGGATCATCGGTTACAAAGAAGAAAAATCCGAAATGAATCATCCCCCACTGGATGAAGCTAATCTTGAAGACACCATCCTGCCAGTTACCTAACGCTATCCTTGCGCTGGTAGCTTCTAGATTGATCCAGGAGGAAACTCACACAATCGTCACGATGTGAATGCTCAGAAGATGAGTTTGGGAGATGAAATCAAAATTTACACAGCTCTAAAGCCTCTTGAACAAACCAACGGTGCTCCATGGCAAGAAGGGGTGTAGAGGATTAGAACCAAACAATATCATCGAATACAGTGTGTCCTACTTACCATGCTCACCATGGGTATCTTTTTAACGGTGAGAGATACGAGGTCGGTTAAATGACACCAAATGTGGAGTTTGTCAAGGCCAATTATAATACGAAAAAATATTTTGATGAAATCTATTCGTTTTTGTTTTATACGCAAAAAACAGATTTTGATCATTTTCATGTCTCCTCCGTAACTTCTTTATTTATGAAAATATTTGAATAGAATTTCACATTCTCATGGCAGTTTTTCAAAGTTATTTCGAAAAAAATTTAAAATTTATACCAACTCTTCTAGAATTTGAGATATCAGCACCAACTTTAGTTTTTCAAATGTAGGTCATAGCTCACTATGACTTAGTTACAATCACCTTTGTTTTCTCTTACAGATGATCTATCGCAGTAATAGTTTTGTGTTGATAACAACGGAGTTATCGTCATTTATACGAAAACAAAAAATTTTTTGGAAGCCGCCATCTTGAATTTATGAGTTTTAACAGAAAAATCATGATCTCCGACCTCAAAAACCTCCACTCACCAATTTGGAATGAAATCCGACCAAATCTTGTCCGCCATCCATAATATATTGTCACCGAAATTATAAACACCTGCCAAATTTCAAGTTAATCGGAGTTATGGAATTTTTGTTGAAATTAAAAAAAATGGCTGCTCCAAGAGGCGGACAAGATTTGGTCCGATTCTATTAAAAATTGGTGAGTGGGGGTTTTTGAGGTCAAGGATCATGATTTTTTTGTTAAAATTTATAATTTCAAAATGGCGGCTTCCAAATAATTTTTTGTTCATGTATAAATGACGATAACTCCGTTGTTATCAACACAAAACTATTACTGCGACATATCATCTGTGAGAGAAAAAAAAAAGAGATTTGTAAGTAAGTCATAGTGAGCTATGACCTACATTAGAAAAACTAAAGTTGGTGCTGATATCTCAAATTCTAGAAGAGTTGGTATAAATTTCATATTCTTTTCGAAATCTCTTCGAAAAACTGCCATGAGAATGTGAAATTCCTAATCGAATATTTTCATAAATAAAGAAGTTACGGACGATACATGAAAATGATCAAAATCTGATTTTTGCGTATAAAACAAAAACGAATAGATTTTATCAAAATATTTTTTCACATCATAGTTGGCCTTGACAAACTCCACATTTGGTGTTATTTAACCGACCTCGTATCTCTCACCGTTAAAAAGATACCCATGGTGAGCATGGTAAGTGGGACACACTGTATACTGGGCAGAATAATGAAACATAATAGCTGCATGAGAAAGCATCTTCAAAAAACATAAAACCAAGCTGACTAGAAAGGAGTTAGTAGGACTCTAATTTTTCATTGAAAACATTGGATCTCATGATAATATATTCTGGTAGCTTTATGTAATGTTATCGAAGCTCGTTTCTCTATAAAACGGCAAAACTTTGTAATTCTCTGCCAAAGGAAGTATTCCCAAGAAAACAACCTCCAAAAGTTAACAGAAATCCTTCTTATTTTCCTTCATAGATGAAGTTTTTTATATTTACTATGGACTTCCAACAAGTAATCATCCCCACTGGATAACTCCAATCATGAACAGACCATCTGCCACTCACCTAACGCTACCCTTGCGCTGGTAGCTTCGTGATTGATCCAGAAGGAAACCCACGACAGCATCACGATGAGAATGCTCGGCAAATACGTCTGGAAGATGAAGTAGCCGATGTTCCTCTGCAGTTTGAAGGACAGCGACAGCCGCTGATAGATGCCAGTGGCGAGCCGTTCCTTCCTGTCGTTGGTCTCCCACCCGATGATGGTGAATTGAGGCAGCTCGGCCTCTTCCACCCCCCGGACGGGGGTGGATTTTGGTGTCGTCTTCCAGTACATCACTACGTCCTTGACGGTGTATCCGTCTGAGGGGGCAACCAATCAGAATCAAGCATCAGATACAAAAAAACACAAAATGATTAGGAAAATAATTGTTTTTACTACTGCTATGAGAAGTAGCGCATTTCTCATAGCTTACTTAGTTTCAAAACCACGGCACTTTGCCAACAACACATACCTACATTTCCATGGAGAATCAACAAATATCGACCAAAACTTGGTTGCTGTTCAGCTTTGAATAGTTGTCACAACTGTCAGAAGAAGTTCTTTGAATTCTTCAGGGTAGTTCTCATTAGTGCTTTCGATAGATATCGCATTTTCCATCAAATATTATTCCAACAATTCATAATAAATAATATGATGTATATAGATGATGGATTTGTTTCCGGAAATTTCAAGGAAAAAGTATGAATTGGCATAAACGAAAAATTCATGGAATCTAAAATAATACAGAAACGAAATACTTTTCGGAAAGTGTACTTTTTTGAAATACTTTGAGGAACTTGGAAAGGCGTCTATTCTTTGGTCACAATATTCAATGTGGCATAGTGCCACATTATAAAATGTATACCAAAAGCTATATTGCTCGGATTCTTTGAATAAATGCAGTTGTAGAGAAAGTATAGTTCCCACTTGTTGTACAATATACTATTTCCGTCGACCTTAACAAAAAATCACATTTCACGTTGTGATTTCTGAACAAAATACCGGCTATTACCGAAGGCAATTACTTTTTGTCTGCAAACACTAACTTTTCCTCCGCGAACACTTTTCGTCCGTTGCAGGGATGCCAGTTCTACTGAATTTTTAGTAGATCCCCTGTTTTGCATATTGACCTACTGATCTACTGAAACATTTCATGATCTACTAAAAATATTTTGACAGTTATTTATTTTCATAATTACCTATATTATTATTAATTTTCAGCTATATATATACACTTATGAATTGCATGATATTTCGGACGCTCTGTATAAATTAATTTCACGAAATAACTAACTATAGGTACTAATGATATGTTTCAAACAAAAAAGGACAATACTTTATCCGATTCAGATCAAATGCAATTTTTTATATGCCTCTGTTATAACAGTTTGTTTCTTACGTTTAATTTTTTATTTGTTTTGTATTTTTGTTGTCCACTTTTATTATTCGTTCTTGTTTTTTATATACGCAAATCTATTGAGTACCTATGTAACTGTATATTTTGTGATATTCGTGAGTATTTTTGAATTGAGAATTAGGAATATGATTATTTTTGTATGAGAATGATTGTTTTGTTTGTTTCTATTATGTTGAAAATAGGTTACTTTTCTGTCCTGTACATGATGTTTTGACGTCATAGGTTTATTTCATTAAACTTGCTTGGAATTCGTATAGCACAGATTAGATCTGAAACAGATCTATTGAAATCTACTGACTTTTTGACAAGGTATTTACTTTTCTTTGTTTTTTTCTTGTTTTTATTTTCTGGATGTATGATGAATTAACATTCATCATACAGGTCGTGGAAAGAAATTCTGAATTGAGAAAACCTAATCACGAATCTGCAATTGAGGTCTACAAAAATAACAAGTTTCCATCGTTCAAGGTCTAACCCCTTGATTGGGTGAAATTATTGAAAAAGAATATCCTCAGATATAATTATGAACATAAAAAAAATGGATATATTCTTGAAGAAATACATAGAAAATTTGCATTCTCCATGTGATGAAAATATCAATTCTTTCTCGGTCTATTCAACAGAAAACAACTACTTTCCTGATTATATGCCACGACAAACATTAAATTACATCTATTGAACATACACGATAAGAATTAGAAAACAAAATAATCTGAAGTAGAGAATTTGCATTCTTCTTTATATAAAAATATGTTCATAATACCATTCCGAATATTCAACACAAAACAACTACTTTCCTGGCTATTCGCCACGTCGAATATTGAATTATATCTGTTGAATATCCAAAAAGTGAGCATGGAAAATGGAAAATCCTGTGAAATTGAGAATTGACATTATTTCTCAAATCGGATGAAATGACATGATGTATTATGATATAAAAATATAACTTATTAAGTTATATTTTTGATCAAAAGTGACTCTGTTGTGCTCGGCTTTGCAGTCGCTCTGCCTCGCAAACGCAAATATCGCTTGTCAAACAAAGTGTCACATTTGATCCTAATGAAACAATGTACTATTACCTACTACGAATGAGTTTATTTCATTTTTTTCACCATTCGCAATTCGTTACAATCATCATACTTCTGTAAAACTGAAATATGAAAACACTTCTTTTAGATTCTTATTGAATTCTAGTAGCCATGGAATTGATAAATACCTATACTAGATTCGAGTGTCATTCCTGCAGATCTCGCAGCAGATCAGTGGATTCGGGTTAATCAAAACAGAGGTTAGCCACTTGTAGTTTATTGTATGATGAAAACTATCTTGGTGGAGAAAAACACATTTTACGCCTTGAAAAGTAGTAAATAATGGTAAATTCTATAGATAGTGATGGAAATAGATATTATCCGAAGCACTTCACAATTTGATAATTGTATCAGATCGACGCTCGACCTTGGTTAATGAAAATTCAACTGTTTTCTGCGAATATCCCACAGCGCACCAGGATTCTCGAAATCAGTACCCCAATACATAATTGATGATAATGAAATGAACTACTGAATTCTTCGTAACGGAAATTACAATGTATTATTATTGAAGTGCCAACGCCAGTGTTCAAATGATACTTGGAATGAATCAACTTACAGCTCTCTATTTCCACGGTGCAATTTTGCGAGTCCAGCGGATAATAATGGAGATCCATCATGCAAGCTAGAGTGGTGGTGAATCGCATTCCGTATGTGATTGATCCATCTCCGTTCAGTCTAAGTAGTGTGTTTCTCTCTGTGACATCGTGTAAGAAACTGAAAGGAAAAAACCCTCATTCTCGTATCAATCTGATAGGTATCTAAGATTTTTTCCAATTCTTGGATCCTCAGGAACGGAATCTCTATTTTGTTTTCGGAACATGATGTGATATTAGAGCTTGAATTTGATTATTGCAGTTCCATTCTGATGACGTCACATGATACTCATGATAACAAACAGAATAGTCTGTTCGTTTGTTCAAGTATATGACAAGGAATGCTGATCATAGTACTAAATCAGAGGCTGGTAAAGTGAACGAAAAGCTGGCTAGATCTGAATTTCTTCAATCGTCTTCCCAGTACTATAGGGTTATTGGGTGATGATGCAAAATCATTCATGTCATTGTTCTTATACAGTCGAAGGATATTTTCACACGCCATTTGTTGAACTGGAGAACCACAGTAATCAAGGGAAAAGCTATACCATCATTGAAACCTGTTAAGCTTGATCAACATCTATTCCAATTTTTTATGGCGACTGCCATCATTTAGGTCAAGAGGAACATTTTTTCATTATATTTTGCTTCTTTTCAAGATCCTCTTTTTCTTTTCTCTATTTGAAATCTATCTGAATCAAAGTTAACAGACCAAATTATAGATATAGTTTGCACCGATCATTTTCGAAAAATATTTATAGAGCTTCTTGTACAGATACAGGTTGTTTCAAGAAAAACCGTTGATAGGATTGGTCGAACACTGCAAGATGATTTTGGTTTGCTCAGTAAAAAAATGTCTGCATGCATCCGTATTCAAGATACCGTTCTTTTTAAGATTATGTCGCAAACACTAGCAACAAATTCTGTATGAATATGTTTTGAATGCTGATACATCCCGTACATTCGATTCTGCATTTTTGTGGTTAGATTCTCTGGGCCAAGTTTTGAGTAAAAAAAAACATCATTCACTTCTATACCATAATAATAATAATAATAATAATAATAATAATAATAATAATAATAATAATAATATTTATTTTCCAATAGGACATAGTTACATAATTATGTATAGGAATGGTCAAAGACAGTAAGAAAAAGAAACATGCAAAACATGGAACAAAAAAAATACGAACAGAACGACGAAGATTCTACATAAATATTCATTATTTTACACGTTAAAATATTCATCCAAAGAATAAATGCAATTCTTAGTAAGAAAACATTTCAAAGCTGTGCTAAACTTTCTAATATCACTATAATTTTTAATTTCATTCGGCAATCTGTTATAGATCATCACACCCATATAAGAAGATGAGTTTTGCGAGACTTTATATTTATACTGGTATATACCATATTGGTATACTCTAGGTTAGACTCGATACTGTGTACCGTATTTAGAAACCAATGGAAAGAGCCAAGATCCAGATAAACATAGTTTATGATTGAATCTATATGAAAGTAAACTCTCCTACGATATTTCAAAAAAAGATCGAGGACTTTGTAATTGTGGTATAACCATCCAGACGTACGTAACCCTCCTCTGAGATCATTTTATCATGGAATTTCTTACCTGTTCTTGTCATTGGCGAAAAATGTGTCTGGTACCCATATTTTCTCTGCAAAATCTCCCGATAGGGTCAAAACCTCATCGTCGCTGCTGAAGGCCAAACGTTCGTCCTTCCAATATTGGTTCAAGTACAGTGTGATTGTGTAATCCTGTGAAAATGAATATTTGGAAGAATCTCATTTCCTGATCCGTACCGCAATATATTTTTTATCAATATCAAATGCGGACTGCAGTAGCAGTAAGAAATATATCGAGTGACACAGGGTATTGGTCCATGTCTGTAACTTCTGCATTAGAAACAGATTCTTCTGGTACGGTGATGTGAGCAACCATCCCGAATTTGATGTTATTACAATAATGCAATATGGCGGACTTTCGGTTTTTCTGGAAATGCGAAAAATGTTGTTTTCCACATCCCAGTTGGAAAATTATTCGAGCTGGCGAGGAAATTCATGAAACTATAGTTGTTGATTTTTTAATGTATACAATTTGTTACTGCACCGAAATACAAACATGATATGTCCTTCTTGTCCTTAATGAAATGATTCATCGTAAGTGACACAAAATAGCTATTTATGTACCGAGGATGAAAAACTGTCTATTATTGTCGAGTCTGCAAGTTGATAGTCGAGGCCCCAGCCGAGGCTAGCAATCAGGCTAGATAATACAGTTTTACGTCGAGGTGCATATACAATTATTCCATTGACCACAAACACTTATATCCACATCACGGTCCTATTCACACGTGAAATATATCGGATTTCGTGAATTAATAATTTGACAACAGCAAATGACAGTTGTTGTCTGTTTTCAACAAAATAAAAACGAACACAAAATAAACATTCCCATAAAAAAATTATTATATTCCTAATTCTCAATTAAAACATATAAATATCACAAATACAGTTACATTGGGACTTATAAGATTTGAGAATATGAAAAAACAGGAACGAATAGTAAAAATGAACAGCAGAAATACAAAACAAATAAAGAAATGTAACATAAGAAATGAACTGTTAGAACAGAGTCATATGAGATCTGAATCAGATAAAGTATTTCCAATTTTTTGTTTAAACATATCATAATTAATTCCAATAAAGCGTGTCGAAATATTATGCAATTTATAGATGTATGAAATTAACTGAAGATTTATAATAATATGGGTAATCATAATAATAAATAAGTGTCTAAATATTTTTCAGAAGGTTATGATATGTTACAGTAGATCAATATCAGTAGATTAGATTAGATTAGATTTAGAATGGGGCCTTCGGGCTATCTGCCTCCCCACCGCGACCTTTTCAGATCTATTGTGTCTGCCCTCAAAATCGATTAGAGTTCTTCGGCTAGCCCCGTCTTCTCTATGAGACTCCATAGGCTAGCTTCCAGATCCCCTGTGTATCTCTGGGCTTCTGGTTTAGTCTTGACAAGCCCTCACAGTGGCAAAGTATGTGTACTGCTGTTTCCTCCTCTTCCTGACAGAACCTGCACAGCAGTTCTTCAGTCAGACCTATCGTACTCATGTGTTTGTTGAGCCTACAATGCCCTGTGAGAAGTCCCACTAGTATTCTAGTTGAACTTCGTTTCTGGCTTAGTAGATATTCTGTGAATGTTGGCGATGGTTTTTTAATAAACTCTTTTGCCTGTCTCATTCCTGGCGATTTGTTCCACCATTCTTGAGATTTGGTTTGCATCCATGATTTGATACTAGTCTTTTGTATAGCTTTCGCAATACCACAGAAGGGTTCTGGGCCATTCAGAGCTTTGTTTGCTCCTGCTCGGGCAAGTGAGTCTGCCCTCGTACCCTGTATGTGCTGGTACCCATGCTAGAGTCAGTCTGTTCTGACTGCCCAGTGCATTTAGGGTTTCTAAGCAGTCCCATACTAGTTTTGAGTTAACTTGCATAGAGTTGACAGCTTTGATTGCCGCCTGGCTATCTGAATAGATTGCAATGGTTTTGCCTTTAAACTCTTGCCTTATCAATTCTTTCACGCAATGATGTATTGCAATAATTTCTGCCTGAAACACCGTCGCGTATTTACCTAAGCTCAGTGAGATTCTTGTCTTTGGCTTGGCCCCATAAATACCAGCTCCTGATCCAAACTCATCAATATCAGTAGATCTACTGAAACTTCATTTGAACTGGCAACCTTGCAGCAAACGCAAAGTGTTTGCGAAAAGTTAGTGCCTGCGAACGAAAAGTACTTCAGGAATAGTCTGTTTCTCGTTCGGAAAATAGAATGTAAAATGTGATTTTTTTGTAGAGGTCGACCAAAAAATTCGGAAGAAACTATGTTCCTCACTATGTGAGTAGCTTTCACCACATCTCATTTATCCACTAGGTGAAATGAAGAAACGAAAAATTTACATTCGACATAAAGATTGCACTTGTTTTGACCTGTTGTACTAGAATACGTTAAGATATTCAGGGTATTCCATATGAACAAGCAATTCTTGCTGGTATATTTGGCGTATTGGATTTCAATGTGATCAAATCCAAACTGGTTGCTTATATAACTGTACCAAATTTGAGAAAAATCCGTTCACGAATGCAGAAGTTACAGAGGTGGCCCGATACCCTTTGTCACCCGGTATAGAAAAAGGAAAATGTAGGAAATATCACAAATTTTACATCCTTATGATTATATACACTTGGAAATATATTACCGCTCGTAATTCATTTATTTATTTATTTATTTCAAAAAATACAATTAACAGGCCCAAGAGCCCATTAATAGGTGTACAAAATTAATAATAGGTGATAAGAGTAGTCCTATACTAAGCATAATTGCAGTAAATAAACATCTCCTCATACAACCGATTAACATAGTACGTTTCTGACGTTTATGACACAATGGAAATAGTAGTTTCAGAAAACTATAGTACCTTTTGCAATTATATACCTATAATACTCTAGTTATGAAGTTGCTGATACTATCTGAAACTGAATAGATCTTCGATATTTCAAACGAAATCAAACGAGTATTCGAAAGATGAAAATCACAGTTATTTTTCCTCTCTGCAGAAATGTTAAATTTCATATGATATATGACATTACAAAATTAATGTGTGGATCCCCAGAAATTTCCAGTGAAATGACAATGCTCTCGAGTGGTGATACATTTTTGAAGATTCAGCGTTTTTATCACGGAAATAAAACCGTCCATTCAGAACAACTCATGCGTGCTACTGATACCATCCACATCCACCGAACCCGAAGGTTAGCATCAAATTCAGTATATGAGACGACTTTCCATTAGGAGCACTTCACAATCATCAGCAATTCATCATACGGTCTGTTGAAGATGAAGAATTTATATCTTGATTACCCACTTGATGATATTTGGAATCAACATATTTTTTCGCCAAACGGTATAGAAAGTGGCTTCTCTATGACACGACAGAAAAAGTTTGTTTGAAGAGGAAACATATATATATATCGGGTGTCCAAGAAGTGTGGTAGTTCTCTATAGCTCCATTGCAATAAGAGATAGACAAGTTCTTTCTGGAGACATAGGACAATATCTTGAGGTCTATGTATCAGAATCATTTTGATCTACACAAGATGTTATTTGAACGCATAGTCAAATGAATCACGATTTTTCCAAATGGAACCTTGCATTAGCCCTGTCTTATTTTGCAACTCTTTTGTGGCGTTGCTAAGTTTGATAATTCTGAAGTACTTAATAATAATTGCTAGTTATCATATAGGTTGATTCATAAAGAACATCCAGTGTTCAACTTTCCATTACAATTTCGGTTTTTCATCCTTTTACATCTCAACTGGTGCCGGAAAAATATTGATAGAACAATACACCAAAAACAATACAAAACAAAATGCTCCACAACAAAAACATCCATCGATAACAACAAATAATATACAATAAATTCATGGCATATCTGACGAAAGATAACGTGTTGGTGATAAGTTCCAAGTGAAAACGGTGTTTGAGGCTGAAAATACAATCAGATAATTGTTTCCAAAAAAAACTGAGGAACATTATCAAAAAATTGTATTAAATACTAAATGATACATAAAGTCATCTCCACGACATCCAATGTGATTAACACATCAAAAATTGGTACATGTTTCGGGAATTTACATGAATGTTCATCATCAGCCTTATATCAGAAATTACATAATTGTCCTAAAAGTAAAATGGTTATTAGTACAAATAACAGGAGTTATGAGAATAAGAATGCTTACATGGGGTTATAGGAGGTTATGTCACCAACTTTTACATTATAAAAATTATATAGTGAAGAGTTTTAATGTGGAAATTAATTATGGGGGGACCCAAAAAAAAAAACCCGAGAAACTGTTATCATTCGAATTTGTGGTGTCCTTTTTTGGACAGAATCCAACAGTTTCAGGGTATGTTTTGGTGCTGCACTCCAAATATGGGAACAGTATTCCAGGACAGATCGGATCTATGCCTTATAGATCATAAGCAGCTGACTGGAAGTGAAATAGCTCCTGGCCCGAAACAGAAAACCAAGTTTTTGGGATGCACTTGTAGCAATTGATCTCACGTGATTCTCCCAAGAGAGGTTATTGCTGATAGTAATACCTATAATCGAAATAAATGTCTTCAAAGGTATGGTTACTCCTGACAAGCTTATGTTGGGCACAGTGAGATCGGGTTTTCTAGAGAGAAGGCATGCTTGTGTGTTCAAGTATATTGAAATAATCATCACTTGATTAATTACTTCGCAATAGTAGTCGTAAAAAAAGTTCCTATTATACGGAACAAATTGTATAAGGCATTCGCATATCGCCCAGTATAGGTTAATAGGTCATTGTCGAGCCTGCCAAGTGGCTGAAGCTTCAATCTGGTGTGGAGGTCGATGGAATCTTGTGTCGTTAGAGGATGAGATAGTCTTGAATGGTAGCTGTGTAGAGATAAGTGAAGGTCGCGACTTCAATCGGGTTTCGCGTGTTCAAGGAGAAAAAATGGAAACTAGACTGACTGAAATTTTATGAAGGTCGATAATAGACCGGGTAATCATGTTAGATGCATCGTTCCGACATGATATCCGTAGCTATACAGGGTGTTTCCTAATTTCAGAGGGTGATTCGTTAGGTCGATTCGAGGAAATTCAACAAATCGAAACCAAAATTACTTCTAGCCCACTAGGTACTCATCCTCATTTGGAACTACAAAATTGAGTTCGATTCAATCCGCTCAGGAAAAAGTTTCGCCCACACTAGTGCGGGAAAATCATTTATTTAATATTCTCGCAAGATATGAGTGGTGAGTGACACAATATGAAAATTTTAGGTTTTTTTGTTGCAGTATTTAGTAGGTTTGTACAAAATCATCCATCAAATTGCACTTTTCATTGTGACAATGAGGAAATATTGAAAAATAATAATTGATTGTTAAATAAGTCCCCCTACAGCCATTAATTGATCTGATGTGGAAAACAATAAAATTGTTGTCATGTCAATCAAATTAGTAAGTGTAATTCTCAGTGACAGACAGAGCGTTACTGTCATTTTCGATTCAGTGGAATTGCGATGAAAAACTTCCAGCTACAGATGCGATACATATGAGTTATTGCCAACAAAGTCTTAAGAAAGATATGAGATGCACTACACGGCATTTATCGAATAGTGCAATAGTAAAGAAGGGGAAACACCAAATGAAGAAGTATTTTGGCTCATTTCCTAGAAATGTCTGAAACCTAGAGGCCAAACACCATGGGCATGCTAACTTCCACAATAAGCTTACCTACGGTACACTTAATAGATAAATCATAAATTATTAGAAGATAGAGAATATATCACTATTGTTAGTTGTTCCTATTCGCAAGAATAATTGATTGAACAAATCAATCAATTTCCTACACTTGTAGAAAAAATATTATTCCTAACTCTAAAGTGTTTTTCCCACACTTGACGGCATTCCCGTGCGGGAAATTTTCACTCTTCGAACTTGTTAGGAATATCACTATTTCCTACTAGCTTGCAGAAAACTTTTCCGCACTCTTTTAGTGTTGATAGAGTCAATTTTCCGCACTAGTGCGGAAAAATTTTCAACACTCGAATAAGTGCGGAAAAGTGGAATTCGTTTCTTTTATTTTAGTACCTAACACGTGCGTAAAGTGACTTTTCCGCACGCGATTGCAGCGCACTTTTTAGGTAAACTACTATTCTCTTCCTTGGTATGGAATTACTATATCCGCATTGACGATAATTATGGAAGTCAAAAAATGAACCGAATCAAATCTATTTTCTACGCCAATGGCTTTTTAGCAGAAGTGTCTGAAGGACAATTAGCAGCATCAAGGGAGTTTTTCAGGTCAAAGTTGCGACAGAAGGAGGAAATGTATGTTGAGGGTGGATCAATCGGGACATGCTGATCTAGTTAATTTTAAAATTCATTGGAAATCGGGAGAAGGTTACTTCGTTAACGAGGTCTCACTTCCAGCTCTACTTCGTACATTCTCTGCTCATTTTTTTTCGCATATCCAACACTCTGTGGAGAAGAGTATGATTAACGTACTTCATAGGATACTTATTTTGCTCAAAGAGGCAAAAACTCGAGATCATTATCAAATTAGTTCATGAAATGAACGAAAATGGTGGATTTCGACAGAAAACAACTACTTTCCTGGCTATTTGCCACGCAGAACATTGAATTACATCTTCTCGATATCTATGCAAGGATTCGTAAAGACGAATACAGCTGCAAGCTCGGCTGCAAGTAACTATTTCCTAAATGCCGAGAGGTGTCCAAATTGTTCAGGAACACTAGACTCCCTATAGACCGGTTTCGAGGTTTATGCTCTCATCAGTGCAGGAAATTTAGGAAAAAACCACTTGCAGCTGAATTCGTCTCTTCGAATCGTTGCATAGATATCAAGAAGATGAAAAATAATGTTCTGCATGCCATATAGCGAGGAAAGTAGTTGCTTTTCACTCGTGGAAATATCTTTGAGCTTTGGGTATTTATTCAACATTTCATTCCACTTTGAGCATTTTGGCATTTTCTTAGTTAGAAGCATGCCACTCGGGCAACCAGCCACTCCCATTTCATGAAAATTTGTTTTGGATTGGTTCTTTCCTGTGCTTCTACTCAGGTGATGTTCGTCCATCTCGCATATGCCATACGCCTCTTGGGTTCGCACCCGATAGCGGTCATAAATGCTATCTGGAGATAACCCTGCACTAATTAGAGCCAATAAAGCTCGAAGCCGGTCATTTATAAATTGCATGATATTTTGGCGAGCTCTGTTTCAATTAATTTTACAAAATAAGTAATGAATGTACCCAAGAAAGGGCAATACTTTATCTGATTCAGATCAAATTCAATTTTTTTATATACCTCTGTTGTAGAAACAGTTTGTTTCTTACGTTTGCTTTTTTAATTGTTTTGTATATTCGTTGTTCAATTTCACTATTCGTTCCTGTTTTTTATGAACTCAAATCTTATATAACTGTAACTGTAACTGTATTTTGTGATATTTGTGAGTATTTTTTCATTGAGAATCAGGAATATGATTATTTTTCTATGAGAGTTTTTGTTTGTTTGTTTCTATTTTGTTGGAAATACGTTATTTTTTCTGTTTACTGAAAGTACATAACGTTTTGATGTCATAGGTCTATTTTATCATCCTTTCTTGGGATTCGTATAGAATAAAATAAATCTGAATTTTTGACAAGGTATTTACTGATGGAATAAAAATCGAACTGAAAACCCTGATCTGCGCAGAGAGTGAGCTAACAAATACTGTTATTTGCTGTTCTCAAATTGATTATTTACGAAATCCGATAGATTTCACGTGTGAAAGTAGAGATAAGTGTTTGAGGTCGACGAATAAATGTAATATGTACCTCGGCGAAAATCTGTCTATTGTCTCGCCTGATTGCTAGCCTCGGCTAAGGCCTCGGCTAACAATTGGCAGACTCGACTTCAATGTACATGAACAACTATTCCCATTGTTTTTTGTTTTTGATGTGTAGGGGGCAAAAAAATTATTGTGGCCCGGGCGCCCACTGGTCTTGATCCGGCCCTGTGTATGCTATTTATCTGTGTTGTGTATATACTCACCATATTCACTTCTGATATTGCATCAAAACTCGCTATTGTCAAATCCATTCCTACGAATAATGGTTCACCTGAAAAAAAAAACTAATTCAAGATACACAGGATGTTTCTATCTACATATTGAGAGATGTGATCCATTAGTTTTTTTTATCTCTTGGAGCGCACGAAAGGAAATACCAATAATATTTTAGGAACATTTTGCGTCTGAATAATTCATTCATTGTGATGCCAAGCCAAACGTGGAAATGGTCATAAGATCAGGAAATGATAGAGGATTTCCTTTGTTTTCACCATTTTGCGAACCAAATTGTTTATAATTCACATTTTTAACAAAGTTGCTGACTTTGTTCGGCAGGAGGGGGATATTTTTATAGTTTCATTCAACACTGAAATACAATTTCTGCGTAAGTTTTCAATGTTTTGCTATTTTTTCTCCATTTTTGCTAGATTGATTGTCCAATATAGTGAGGACGTAAAAAGTCCTCCCCCTTTTTAACGTTTGAACGGAACAAGCTAGCGAGGTCGAGTAAAATTCAAACAAAAAGGTGCCTTTTTCACTACTATTTGGCATGAAAATGGTTGTGGTCACGTGACCTAGTGTCAAGTGGGCAACATCAACTTTTTTTTTCAAATATGAAGACGGGTCACGTGGTACCTTGTTTTGAAGGCCTTCCGATTCTCTATCCAACTCCGCTTTGTTTGTGCAAATCGGTCAAGCCGTTTCAAAATGACAAGCGATGGAAATGTACCTCGGAAACAGTAAATCACGTTCGGATAGAATTCCAAACCCGATTTTTTCGTGTCAATAAGTGAACGATGAACATTTCGAGCATGTTCCAGCCTTTGTTACTATTCCTACTTGAAATTCTGTTGGAAATGAAAGTTATTTAGATTTTTTATTCATTGATATTAATATTTGAAACGAATTTCAAATGGTTGTCATTTTGAAACGGCTTGGATGATTTGTAAAAACGAAGCGGTGTTGGATAGAGAATCGAAAGGCCTCCAAAACAAGGTACCACGTGACCCCTCATTAAATTTGAAAAAAGTTGATGAGGCCCACTTGACACTAGATAACGTGACCACAACCATTTTCATGCCAAATAGTAGTAAAAGAGACATCTTTTTGCCTGAATTTCACCCGACCTCGCTAGTTTGTTGCGTTCAAAGGTTAAAGGGGGGGGAGGACTTTTTACGTCCTCACTGTATATCTACTTACATGTCTCACGAACAATCTATTCAATTGACAATTCTTCCAGTGAAATCGATTCGTTGTTTTCTAATCTAATTTTCTTCTTCCACACTAATTGGTCTGGAAAACTTTGCAGAGGGAAATAGAGGAAATTCTAAGTGACTAAATAAGAGCCATCTGTTCTCGCAGTTTACTCTCCTAATGATATCTGAATTTGTTTTTCAATAGAATCAACTGTGCGTTTGACATATTCCATTCGTGTTGTCCCTTACCTATTTACGATTGTACAATCCCCATCTTGATTGGAAAAGACAATCCAGAATTGGAAGATTTGAGAGAATAAATTGGGTACCTATGGCTTCACAGTCTTTACCACTTCCATCTACACTATTTTCTCAACCCGCGAGCAATGTGGCGGAGTTTCAGGGTATCTTAAACCCATAATTTGTACAATAAAATGTTTTTCGAAAAAGTCAGACACCTTTCACGCCAGGTAGCTCCAGTGCATTCTGTCACTCTATACGTGAAGCGGCAACGGTGGTTCCCACGTAATTTATGAAATGTCAATTAGTGGTGCCTGCGAGAGTCTCGTTTTCGAGAGTCTTGCATGGTCTCGTCTCGTTTTCGAGACGAGACTCGGACAAGACGAGACGAGACTTTTATTGGTCTCGTCTCGAGTCTCGTGCAAGACTTCTCGTGTGTCGTGCGAGAGTCTCGCAGGTAAATATTTCTGCGTGCCGACTGCAGACTTGAGAATTTCATTCATAATACAACATATTTATAAAGAATTCAAACTATTTAGCACAGATAGACAAAACATTCATTCATAAATACTTCAAAAACACAATCCATGATTGTTTTAAAACGACGTAATGCGTGAAAAGAAAACGGACTATTCTCTCCCTTACGGCGGCGGAATATAAAGGCAATTCTGCAATAACGACAGATCGCAAAGTGAATGACTACCTGAAAATCTATAAATAAGTCATTCTGTGCTAAATAGTCTATGATAAAGAATAACTTTATGTCTTAACGACTGGGTGAGAAACAAAAACATTTGTGATCGTGAAGACTGATCTGACTGATAAAGGTTTTTTTGTTAGATACCTATTTCTTGAATAAGAAAAATAATGTTGGATTTAAATTTTTGTTTTGTTCATCTGTTTAGAATATACGTGTTACTTTTCATTTCATTTTTATGACTTTCGAATATATAATGCTATTTTTCTTGTTTAGATGTATGATGTAAGTATGCACCTATTAGGTACTTACTTTTCAATAAATAATGTTATTTTTGTTGTAATTTTCTCTTCCTACCACTACATTATAACTAAGAAGTAGATAAAGGTAAATATCCCGTGCTAGACTGGAACAGGATTATGCATAACGAAATTGCGATACATTTGCGAGACCCTCGTACGAGACGCGAGACGAGACGAGACTCCAGGCTGCGAGACGAGACTCGAGACAAGACTTCATATTTCATCGGCGAGACGAGACGAGACTTAATGAAAGTCTTGTCTCGTTGGTCTCGTGTGAATCACTAATGTCAATCCAATTCACTTGAGGTATCACATAGATCTGGGGCTCTATTCTCGAACCGTTCGAATTCAATTCGTATACGAATAAAGGAAGATGCACTTATGTATGTGAAGTATATTGAAGTGAAATAGAAGATCGAACTCGTATACGAATATCGCTCGAGAATAGACCCCCAGTTTGAGATCTATTGTATTCTATAATTCCAAGAAAGGATAGACCCTTGCGGTACACCACTTTCAACTTTTTCCCTCAAGTTTCATATATTCGACGTCGCTGCCCCCTCAAATGGTGCCCATGAGCTTGATGATAAGTATAGAACTCGACTAATGAGCAGTCATTATACAACTAATGGTTCGAAAAAGTCGTAATCACTTACCGCCAAAATTCGGTCTCAGCCTGATATCATATCCTTCGAGGAGTCTGGAGATGGTCTGAGTGACGTTCTCCAATCTTTCCGACACCATATTCCTCTCTGCACTGGAACATCAAATTTCACTTATGAAGGGGCGAGTGGATAACGAGATAAGGAAATATGTCGTGTACATTATCGCAAAAATATAATCTGACATGGGAGAGCGGAAATTGACTGGAAAATAATTCAACATTAAAAATAACTTGCAGTTTCATCAGGGTGATGATCATATTCTTTTGAAAAACAAATAATACTCTTCTCCATCCTTACATATATTATTCGTTGTATAGATTGAATGTTAGCCCATGAACTAGGTCTCTTTAATGGGTTTGCCATCAGTCCATATTTCGCAAATATTATTATTGTTTGATTGATTGATTGTCTTCATTACCCCAAGAAACATAGTTGTTTATAATAGGGATACAATACATTAACAATATACATAATGTTATACATACAATTATGAAATTATAATAAGATATAACAAGTAAAAATAAATGCAAATAATCATGCAATATCAAGCTTGTCTTTTATAAGTAGGTATTCAAATAAGAAATGGAATTATCAAAGTCTCTGAAGCAGATATTTTTTCAAGTTAATTTTGAATCTAGTTGCTTCCTGTATATTCCTCAATTGACTTGGTAATGAGTTGTATAGAACGATTTCTGTGTGAAAAATAGATTGTTTGCTGATATTTGACTTGAACTTATTTGCTATTAGTAAAGATTGTCTTGTTCCATGATTATGTAATGAATTGATTTCATTGAAATTTAAATCCGAAATTTTCGATTTATATAGGACAAATTGAATAAAACAACATATTTTAAGTTTCTATAGTGATGTCAGATCTAATAAGTCTCTATCTAGGTTTGTATAAATTCATGGTTGGTTCGAGAAAATTTAAATTGAAAATACACTTCAATGTTTTATTTTGTAATTTCGTTAGTGGACTATTAGGTATTGAAATTTTGAGTAAATAAGAGAGAAATAAATACTCTCCAAGTATCTAGTAGAAATGAAATTTCGTATTTTGAATAAAATGCCTGCAATGGGATTGAGTTTGTTTCTCAAATGATCTATATGTTTATTTCACAAAAGTTGTTCATCAATATAAAGACCAAAAAATTTTGTAACATCTGTATATTTGATGAGTTCATTGTTGAAGGATAGTGTTCTATTTGAAATGTTCAGTGTTCTTTTTGCTATGTACATATATGAGGATTTGTTATAATTGAGAGATAGTTTATGAACTTGTACCTAAGAGGATATTTTCTCCAAATCACTTTTCATGTCCATGATAATATTATTTGAATCTTTAGGGAAATAAATCAATGTCGTGTCATATGCAAATAATTTAAGTTTTCCTCTCAATTCCAAGTTTGATATTGAATTTATGTAGATTTAATAAAACTGGTCCCAAGACTGACCCTTGCGGTACACCGCATGAGATGTTCATTGAGGAGCTACAAGTACCACCCACTACAACATATTGTTTTCTATTTGATAGATAATTTCTGAACCAATCATGAATTCTTCCTCTGGCACCAATTGCAAATAATTTATTCAATAAAATGTTATGGTTGACAGTATCAAAAGCTTTGCATAGATCTAATGACAATAAACCGCATTGATCATTTTCATCTATTCGTAATTGAATATCTGAAATAACATTCATAACGGCTACTTATTGTTGTCGTTATTGTCACTATTGTTATAATTGCTCTTGTAATATTGATTAATTGTTATCATTTTCATTCCTTACTACAAGTTCTACTTTGTAAGGTTCCCTCAGTTAATTCGATCACTAACTATTTATCATTGATCTATTTTGTGAAATTGATATTTTGAATGAACTCATCATAAAATTAAAGAAGTATTCACAAAACGGTAAAAGGAAAACTACAAATATCGGGAGAGAGATCAGAAGAATTCGAATGGGAAAAAGCCTCAGCCCATTATTATTCATAATAGTTATGAATGAATGGATGGCAAGAACTAGGAGAAGAAGCTTCAGACAATAACAGGATATCACCGCCTACAGCCTGATAAAATAGAAGTTTCAATGTATGCAGACGATATTGTATTGATGGCTGATGCTGATAAAAAATGCGAGGACAAATTAATATATGGACAGCACAAATCGAACAATTGAAGATAGAAATCAACACGGAAAAGAGTAAGATAATGGTAATAAATAAGAAAGATTATACCAACACAGAGAAACAGAATTGGAAGTAGTGACAACATTACAGAGTTTCAAAATTATGTAACTAATAGACGCATAACCAATTTAGTCAGTAGATTTCTAATGTTTTTCGTTATGATCACCAGCTACTATCAGACGAATTCAAGCTGACAACTTTGAGGAAGGGTAGAGAGATCTCCGACCTTACATTCCTTTACAAAATCGTCCACAATCTCATCGACTCATCAGAATTACTATCATTGATTAATTTCTATGTACCGCGAATTACTTCGAGATCGAACATAACTTTTCATATAGATGTACCAAATTCCTTCCATCATTTTCATAGTCCTTTGTTTAATATATGTAGACAGTTAAATAAGTTAGAAAACGTAGACATTTTTTCCGTTTCGCTAGCACAATTTAGAAAAATTCTGTTTCTACAAATTTCGAATTAATTATCAAGTAGTGAACATTTGCACACCAATATTATCACAAAACCCATTGTTATATACTCCAGTAAGTGGATTTTCAATCTGTTTGGATGTACTATCAATGAATAAATGAATAAATAAATAAATGAATACCTAGGAAGTATTTTATGACGGATGATAGCAAAATAGAACTGGAATTACCCAATGGAGCAAGGAAATAAATTAAAATATACTATTCATTGAATAAGATATTAGGAAAAAGAGAATTGACACAAGAAACAGAGCTGAGAGTATATATAATACAATTGTTATACCGACCATACTATACACTAGTGAGAATTGGACTGTACGAAAGAAACACGAGAGTAAAATAAATGCAATGAAGATGAGATAACTGAAAAAATAGATGGGAAAACGAAGCTGGACAGAATAAGGATCGAAACAATAAGAAAAAATCTGAAGCAGGCATCAATAACAAAGAAGAAACACGGAGCATGAAGCATAACAAAGAAGAAGGAAGGAAGACCACGGAAGGAATGGATGCAATAAAAAAAAGAGGCAGTAAGAAAAAAGATAGAAGTTGTTGAGAGAGATGAAGATACTGACAGAAAATAGGAAATGGAAACAATGCGTAATCGGAACAACAGAAAATTAGCCGAATTCCGACGCCCAAGAGGGTAAAAGGAAGGAGGAAGAGGAAGAAAGAAAGAATAAACTCATACTATTATTATTATTATTATTATTATTATTATCTATTATTATACCGAATGTTCCACCCATGATACGAAATATCAGCTCAATTAGTTTTCGATAGATTTTATCCAAAAATCAACGAATTTGTTCTCCCTCAGTTTAGCACATGAGTCTATAAATGTTTATTCGACGAACGATTCATAGATGGAATTATGTTAATTTTTCTCGAAATAAATCCCTTCTATTTTATGTGGTCCCGGATTGGCTCCTGATTGGAATACACGGAGTTCAGGCAAACAATTAAAACGGGATTTACTGTAGAATAAAAGGATTAGTGCCTATATGGAACTGAAGGGCTGGAGGCACAGAAATGTTTGTCATTCCAGAAAATGATCGGGGATTCTGCAAATATTTGTGTTCGTCAAAAGTCGAGAGCCCTTTTTATTCTTTTCATGAAATCTCATTACTCATTTATTATAAGGAGTTGAAAGTCTATACAAGAGTAGATGCTTTGTCTTTCATGTTTGATCTAGGTTAATCTGTAACAGATTCGAGAGCTTGCCGCAGATAAGAAATATAAAATCAAGCGCAGTAAGATTTTGAATCTGTTACACACAGAATAACTTGGATCAAGCTGAAAAAAATGTTCAATTTCATATTTTTGACTTTCTAGTTTTCATTATGAGAAATTACTTTAGTAATTTCTATCGACTGTACATAAATTTTATTGTAATTCTAAAAATATCCGAGGAAGGAAGCCCCTATATACCAATTTCGAATATAATCAGACCATAATCATAAAACTCTTCCGCGATTTTGGAGCTGCCATTTTAAAATTCCCAATTTTGATGGAAGAATCACAATTTCTGTTCCAGAAAACCCCCAGATACCAATTTAGAATAGAATTGGATGATAATTACAAAGCTCGTTCATCATATTGGATCCACCATCTTGAATCTCCCAATTTCAACGATAGAATCATAATCTCCGATCCCGAGAACCTGCAAATACTAATTTTGAATAGAATCGAATCATAATTATCACAATACTTGTTCGCCATATTGGGTCCGCCATTTCGAATTTCCCAATTTCGAGGTGATGATTGTGATCTCCAACGCTCAGAACCTCTAGATACCAATTTTGAATACAATCTGATCATAATTTCAAAACACGTCCGTTATTTTGGAGCCGCCATTTTGTATTTCTCTCTAACGGAAAATCCATGATGCATTAGACTAGGATTATGAACACCTGCCAAATTTCAAATCAATTGGACGATTAAAAAAAGTGTGTCATATTGAACTTGTCAAGATTTGATTAAACACATACAGACATACAGACAGACACAGGGTCAGGTGAAACTGAGTGAAAGCTTGTGAAAACAATGTTTAATCCTCCAATTATCATGAAAAATAATCCATGGTAAGGCCAATTGTTTAACTATCCTACTTCACTTCTGAAATGGAACGTCTTGTAATTTTCTTAATGAATAGTTTTAGAAATATGCGGCAAATTGGAGTTGAATGAACCAACCTTTATAGTTATTAGGCGAAATAACACGAGAGCTTTAAATTCTTGGATTATTTTCCTTGAAAACTATACAATTTGCTATCCATATTTTGGCGAAAGTTCAATTCTATATTCTGACGGAAGGTAATTTTAATGTTATGGCGAAATATCAATGCGCTTTCGCCGAAATGTAGAAATGAACAAACGAGGTGTGAATATACCATTTACTACCCATATTTTGGCGAG